AGATTAACTTCAATCTTCTTGGTCTAACTTACTTTTTATCTTTTTCTGATTCTTAGAAAGATTAAGTTATAAAACTAAGATTAAAGTTATAAAACCAAGATTAAATCTGCATTGGTAGAAATGGATAGTAATGATTCATGGTGTTACACCGTGTCATCTTGCTGTGTTCTGCCGTGTTCTTGCTGGAAAGCATCAGAGATTTTAAGAAAAAGTCCTAAACCGCAAGAAATTATAGTCGATTAGTCTCCTTTCGATTGTGATTGATCAATTTCTTATGGTTTAAGGCTTAAAAGCTTAAGTTTGACGCTTTAAAATCTCATTTTAGACGCCGTTTTACGCTTTGAACTTTGACACACCACGTGTCCCGTCCTTTTTATTTACTGAAATAATAAAAAATACAAACCCACTTTTATTTTTTTTCAACTATTGTTTGGCTGGCAGTGCAATTTAAACGTTTTGACGTTTCTGTATTCTCCTAAAGCGCATTTTGCAGTCGTGTGTTTTCTGTTTGATGTATATCGAATAATATTAAGATGCGGAAACATAAAAGGGTTTAAACCCTTACCTCTAAGGGCTTAGACGAAAAATAAATCGCGCAATTTACGACCGGATTTACCTTCCGAGACTGATCGTGATAGCAATTGAGGCGAAGTAATCGGAACGATATCAATTCTCTTCCAACGCGATAAGTTAATCGATTAGGAAAACGAGGACGGGTAGGGGAGGGGGTGTAAATTGGAGGCGATCTTGAGAGAGTAATTTGCTTTCTCATACTTTTCTCCATTCCTCGCGAGTTCAACGACGCAACTTACATTGTTTTATCACTATTGTTACTGGCATTCTCGTCTCTTAGGCTTCGTGTGAATATTGCGTCACGTGTTTCGTGCTGAATGCAATTTTGGAGAGAGGACAGTGAAAATGACGAATCGTGAATCTTTTTCTACCTCTTGACACACCGACTATCTCCGACCAGTGAGCTCTATAATATATAGCTCTCTTTTCTGAAGCGAGCCTTTCTTATATTAAACTATAGAAAACTGCAGCCCGATGGAGAATAGGAACACAAGCAAATACTGATCTTTTTATTTTTTATATCTATGATAGTAAAACATCAGCCAATCAGCGACAAAAAAAACAATATCATCTTTGCATCAGAATTCTTGTTTAGAAATGACCCCCAACTACTCCATGACTCGCTCCAGTATGTTATAGATCTCACTGAGTTGGACTGGGAGATCTGGGGAGATCCGGGGAATCCAGAATCGCAGGAATTCCCGGATCCTTGGATCGCCTCTTCATTGATCGATGTGTGGATGCGTTTCAAGGAAAATCCTGGTGGATCTTCGAGACCGTTGCGAGATTAAACGCTTAACACCGACAAATTGATCGTGCTCGTAGATCTTAGACCCGTGAATTTTCCTCAAAGTATTTGGAAATTGATTAACCTTACATTACTCGCGTGGTTTTTTTTTTAAATGTAGTTACACGTGTGAGGTGTTTCTGGCATTCCATAAAAGTTGAAACATCTTATTATATTTATTGATTTTAATAAATTTGATATGTTTTATTGCTGCTTTAACTTTATCTCTCTGCTTTATCGCTTTGCTTTGTTTATTGACCTTAATTAGAATAGAATAGAATTTATTTACTTCAGCTTTATTGACCTTAATTTCATTTTAGTTGTTTAAACTTACACGAGCCTTATTTTGTTACTTTGTTTTGACACTTCAACATTATATATATATATATATATCAATTTCATTGTTCTTTATGATTTACAATTGAATAAATTGTATACAATTGATAATATTGTACATCCTTTAGATAAATTAAGATAAATGCGAAATTTTTATTTTAAATTGTGAAACAATTTGTGTTAAATATAGTAACATGTATAAATAGTATTCATACATTCAGTGGAATTTATAAGGCGGGGGTGTTTTAGACACCCCACGCGAGTAATGAAGTGCTCTCTATACATAGATATACGGAAAGAATGATTTTGCTGAAGTATCTAAAACTTTAGACTTGAGAGAGAGAGAGAGAGAGAGAGAGAGAGAGAGATATCTGAAGATAATTTTATTGGACTATCTAAATTATATTAAATACTCAAACAGGTTGCTAAAATGTCAAAGCTTTTTGCAATATTATTATTATGCTTGAGTGTCCCTATATAATTATTTTAGTCCAACATAATTATTTTCACATGCTTATCTGGCTAAATTTTTAGATACTTGAACAAAATTGTTTTTTTCGTGTGTTAAACTCAAAAACATCTGGGTCTTAGATCTAACACGTGGTAGATCAATACGCACAATTTTCACTCGCTTATCAATGGCGTTCTTAGGCTGCGTGTAATAATGACGCACTTTGAACGATCGCTTTATTGTACGCAACTCGACAACACAATCGTAGAATCACATCGCTCGACCAGTCGCAGATTCACGGCAACTCGAACAACTAGATCTTAATTACAGCGTGGAAGCGACAGTGCGCTGATTTTGTTTAATTGGTGCACATTGTTGCCTAAGTCCCGTCAATTTTTGATAGATCCGATAGATCCGTCTAGACTTTTTTTTTCTAATCATAAAAATATCTTGTATTTTACCAATCCAAGGAAAATCGCGGTCCATTCAGATATAATCCACAGTACATAGTTTTTTTTAAAAATCTTTTTACGAGGCGATAATAATTATTATATTTTTCGAGGTGTTGCGAATTGAAATCATTTTCTCACACTTTCCGTAATAAACGCGACAACATTATTGCGTTTACTACAAAAAAGTCGCACTTGCTCACTTTACATCTAGGTAATAGATAAAAAATATAATTGCAATTTATAAATGCATGCGACAAACGTACATAAATACTATTTCAACAATATTTACAATTCTGCTTAAATCGCGAAAACATACTATAAAACAAAACGCTTAGAAACGCTGTATAAAATAATATTACCATATATACGATGGCACCGGATCTCGCAGACTTTTCAAAAAGTGCAACTTGCAAAACACGAATAATTTATGCAAGTTAATTTCTCATTGCGCAATATAATATTTCAGCGGTATACACTATTTTAGAAAGATTCACTGGACTTTATTCGTAACTACCTTTTCATCTACGTATGCTAATTATGCGAGCTAATCACATTTCCGTTCCGTCATATCATACGAGTGTCATCTCTTCCGAATTCGACCCGAATGCTCGAAATGATTGCATTTCCTTCGCTCAGAAGTTAATCGCAATCGTCGGAATAGCAAAGAGATATTATTTCTGCGTTTCAGAGCGCTTTATATTAAACATTATTTAACGACGAAACTTTCCGAGCTGAAACTTGCAATTCTAATGATGGCATGCTAAAGATGTAATCGACGTACGCCAAACGTCGCGATTTTTCAAGTTATATAAAATGCGGTATGACGGATGCGCTTGATATTGATCCTTTAGCTCTGTTGCCGAACGATCGTAGTTCGTTTTTTTTTTATGATTATCGTGAGTCGAGATTGTGATTCAATCACGATATAAAGTTAATTGAATAATATAATTACTATCATCGCGATTAACTTACATTTAAAAGACTGTATGTTTTATTTTGTCACAATTTACTTGTTCAATTGGTTTTTTATATTGAGGTATATTTTAACTCTAAGGCTCAGAAGTTATTCACGCAATATTCTAAATATCTACGGTGATCGTTCGTTGCGACTTAACAATAAATTATCATTTGATTTATTCTGCGAAGCGTCAGGAAAATTTTAGGACGATTACAACGGCAACAGAGCGGAAGGATAGCTTTGCGAAGCTTTTACACGCACCTCTGCGTTGTGCGACGCGATGAGAGAGAGAGAGAAGAGGTCTTTGGCTTGCGCGATGAATATATAATATACATATTTTCCAAGATTCGAAAGAGAGCGAATATATATATATATATATATATATATATATATATATATATGCGGTGATATCGGGAATTATTTACACAGAATAGCGTCCTCTTAGGCGAGTAACGTTTTTTTGATTTGCTCCATGGCTCCTCCGCTGCTTAGAATTCGCGTTTTCTCCAGCATCCGAGTTCTCTCGTCTTCCGTGTCTTCCCAAAGATTTGACTACGGCGCACTTTTATCTCGGCTCGTACAATAAAATTACGCGGGCGAATCGAAAAGTAATTCGTTACCGCTATGACGCGAACGAAATCGTACGGTATTATGTATATCATTATTAATTTCCTTATATCTCAATCACGGGACATGTGTTACTCTAGTCTTATTATCGGCTAACCTATCGTAAGAACTTTACGATACTTAAGTTGAGCTGCTGAATTAACAGTACGATCGTCGTGAATACTTTTTAGAGTCCTTATGATTACACTCGCGTGTCCAGACCGTCGTACACGGCTCGTTGCGCTTAAATAATTCGTCAATGCAGGGCACTTCGCTTTTTTTGTTTGTTTGTTTTATACTCGCTATTGCACGTAAAAAATAAATGCAAATAATACTTCCTTAAATCGAAGAACTTTCAAGATGAATTGATCATCTAGAGATTCGATATTCAGTCATTAGAAAAACTATCACGCATTAGAACCGTCACGTATTCTTTTTGTTTCACGTTCGTTCGTTTTCCATCTTTTCGTGTAAAGTGCAGGAATTAGGCAATCGTTCTTCGTTTCTGTCAGTTAAATTATCCTTTCCTCTCGTTGAGAAAAAACGAGGGTTTGGCCGTCAGAATCGTCGTAAAGTTCGTGAGTGAACGCGAGACAAACGTGTCGTCGGTAATTAGTGTTAATAATTATTATATCATTTTAATCTTAAAACTATAACACGAAAAGACATCGATAAAATACAGATAAGAGCACAATTGCATTTAATTATTAAGTAGCCTCTCCTTCGATCTTTCAGCGTCGGATCGGAGATCCTGGGGCAGTAACAGAATCAGAGATCCGATAGCAACGGGCATTCCGACATCAATATCATTTATATCCGCGCGAATATTTTTTATTCTTTTTTTTTTTTATCATTAATTCGCAACTCGCTCAAGCGAGGCTCAACGAGTAAAACGCCATAAAGTCACCGTAATCGCCATCGATTAATCAACTCGACCGTCACGATTACGACAAATGGCGAACTATGGTACATAACATGAAATAGACACTTAAGATATATCAGGTCACGATAATTTGTCAATAATTAATATCGAACGCTCGTAAGACACTGCGTATAGACACGCTAACTCTAGGCGATAAATCTAATAAGTAAGACGGAGACGTGCACTTTTAAATAATGTATACGCGTCGCGTATTGGGATGCAAAATGTATCTCGGGAGTAAACAAGGTACTTTAAGAATAATTGCGACGTCATCAGAGGACAACATCGTCAATCGCGAACTTCGCGGTTGAATTGGAGAAACGCTTTACGTCTCTAAGGGGGAAATCGCGTTCTGTAACGTAGACTTCGAGGATATCGGAACGTAAAGTTTCGGCGAGGTGTGACTCGCGGAAAAGTGAGTATCCGGGAAAAGCGCGACCATGGAGAGCGGCCAAATGGCTCAAGTTTGGCTAGCACTCTACGAGCGTGCGTTTGCACGTGATACGAACTGAGCATAACGAGTTTCCCAATCCGCGCACTCGAATTTATTTTATTACTTTTGCTCGGCAAACACACGTCGCCATTGAAACTTTTACTCAACACAGAGAGAGAGAGAAAGACACGATCTATCTACTACTTGTCACATCTTCTAGGTTGCTAGTCTACCTAATCTACCTGGTCTACCTAGTCTACATTGATCTACACGTTAATCTACGAACAACATTGGAGACTGCACTCTAATTTTTAAACAATAACGCCCAATCCCTTTCCTTCACAAATAATTCTTGCGCATTTTTTTTTTTCAATACTACTCACGTATACCGACGATGTTGTGGTACAAACAGTAGAGATTAAATAACTCTAGCAATCGGAAAGGATGAAAGAGCTCCAAGTCCTTGACTTCTCCTCGTGCGTCGAGATTTAATCAGAATCCATCACGGATTCTGACAATCTCGAGCAAACGAATCTGATCGTTAGGCCATACGTATAATATAAATACAGTTACTCGATGCAACGTTAGAGACTAGACGTCGATGCTCGTTTTTCGTCTCGCGACATACATATTTTCGCGTTATCGATCCTATCGAACGAACTGTCGCAATCTTTGTCATTGCACGCAACATCATGATTACCGACGCAATATCGTGAAAATCCGTCTGCAGCATTTGAATAGTATCAGTAGTCGTGTAATTAAATCGACTCGTCTTATTAAATCCTTCCGCGTAAGTAAACTTTGTTCTCAAAAGATGCTTTGTGTCTTTGCTTAATTAAGGAAAGCGATCGAAGCTTCGTCGCGCAAAGGTCTGGACACGCGAGATCAGTAAAGTGGATTAAAGTGGAAATCGAATTTGTGAATGTTGTAAATGTAAAATGCAAGATTTAATATCAACGACAAATTACAAGTAACCTAAAGTCGCATAAGTTTTTACATAGGGTGCATCCACTCTACAGTTTTCCCTGAAACAGACAGTGAGCGCTCCGTACGAATAAGAACATTATTACTTGAGGTTATTACTTGAGAGTACGGTGAGAGAAACTTTTGGAAGCGATCGTCGCGACAGCAAGCGTAAGCGGTTTAGGTCGGGTCAGGTACTTACTCGTCCTCCCACGGGCATACTTCGTTAACATTATTGTCACGCTTCTCCCGAGGCTCTGCCTGCGCCGTCGCCGGTCGGTCCTCCTGTTGGGCGTCCGGTTCCCAGACAGGCACGACCTGCGCCTCCTCGGGCAGCAGCACCTCGGTCGTCGCCGGTTCCTCGGCCACCGGTGACACGTCCGCTCCGGTGTCGGCCCGCGAGTCCTCGCCTTTTGTTTTCTCCTCACCCACGATCTCTCCCGCATCCTTCGCCGTACAGCTTTCGCTCGCGTCCTCGTCGGCGTTCTCCATCGTGGAATTGTCACTCGGTAGATCGCCTACGATCGCGCTGATGCTGATCAAGGGCGCCTTCGCGCTCGTCCTGGGAACAGGAACGGGATTTCGTTTCTCGATCGCCAGCCGAAATATCGTCCGGGTATATCTCGTGAGTAACTTACTTAGGACTCGGCTGGCTCTCCTTGACGACGACGGCTTCCGCGACAGTTTCCTCCTCGGGCACGATCTTCTCCAGGGATAATCTCTCTTCCACCTTTTCGACCACCGCGTGGGAGTACTCGAATGACTGTTGGGGCGACGGATAATTACAGGATGACACGGATATACGACCTATCTCGGCCAGCCTGATACGACCGCTCGCTGAGCAGGTAGAATAATTTCGCGTTATCGGGCCTGAAGTCGATGTACCTGAGTGTTTTGAAAACAGAAAAGGAGACGATATTTAGAGATAAACTTGACTTTTCATGCGATGTCTTCTTTCTTATTGAGTGTGTTCAGCAAACACAACGGTTGAATGAGCACTCGCTGCTGTTGGTATATATGTATATTTTTCTAGATTTATCTTATGGATTTAAAGGTCTGTGGTTGGTTGGTTGGTTGATTTGCTTCAAAGACTTCGACATTCGAAGCTTCGAAATTTTGATATTTCAATCTTCGAAGTTTCAAAGAAAAATTATACAATTTTTATTAATCATTATTAATTCGTTTTACTATTAATTTTATTTATTTAATTAATTAATAATTTTATACAATTATCAATTTAATATAATTAATATAGTAATGAATATATAATAATTTCATAAAATAATTACATATCAATTTTTCATATACAAATACGTTAGAATATATTACGAATATATTTTTATTCTTTTTAATTGCACAAATATATTTTTCGAAATGTCGAAGGCACCTTAAACTTCAACAGTTATTAACTTGGAAGATTTGAATTCTTTTAAAGTTTCCAATCTTGGAAGTTGTTAAAAGCAACATTCCTTAAATCAACTCCAAACACTGGCAACAATTACCGAGCCGTTATGTTCACTGAACGCTTCCAATGAGTTGCTCCAATGAGTTGTATACCGACCTATACTACCGCTATGTTGCAAACTACACGACTTCCGCAACCGTTCGGAGACGTCCGCGATAGCAAGGCTGACGTCCGACGACGAGCTGCACGAGTCCAACTGTGCCGAATTCTTCCGGGAGGCACGCGCCTCGACGGAGTGTGCGGTCGTCCCGTGACCGCCACTGTCCCACACGTGTCGGGCCTGATCAGCTGACACTGTCTTTCCAGAGGACACGGCGTCTCCCGTTGCCCCGTGTTCCGTGCTCGGGCCCGGCACGGCCTCCCACGGGCACACGTCGTCCATAGGGCGAACTGCCACTTCCGTCGCGCCAGCATCCCTGACAACAGGAACTTTATTATATTTAGTTTTCACCGTTTGCTTTCGGCAGAAGGTACCACGCGCTTCGTGTGCGTGTTTCGTGTGTTCTGCGTATATATGTATGTGTCTTTTATCAACGTCAGTCGATTACATGCATGCGACTCCATTCAACGACTAGGGAAAATATAAGTCTTTATATATATATATATATATACATATAAATGTTATTAAGGATCTCCCGGAATTATTCTCGCTTGAAAAGTAGCGATGCAAAGACGAATAATCCCGGGGCATCCCGCAGGAGACTTTAGGCGATTTTTTTTTTGTTATGGAATCGTTTCATTTCTCAGAATCCTGCATATTATCGCGCATTCGAGTAATCGCAGGGTTTTAACATTTGGATAAAACATTTACACGAAAAGAATGGTTTTGCTGAAGTATCTAAAAATTTAATTAAATGCAAATCTGAAAATAATTTCGTTTGGATGGTCAAAATAACGTGGGACGCTTACATTGCAAATTACTAGCATGTTAAAACTGTTTGCAACATTGTAAATTAATATTTAAGCGTTCTACATAATTATTTTGATGGAAACACAACAAAATTATTTTCAGATTAGTATCTAGCTAAATTTTTAGATTTTTAGACTTCAGCTAAAACGTTTTTTTTCTATGTATCGAGCATCAGAAAACGTAAATCATAAAAAAAATTTTATAACGTGAAAAGAGTTGGTACATACTTTCCTTGCTGTGCAAATAATGTGCTCGACAAGTATCGTACGTATAGGTAATGTGTTACATAAAATATTACAGAGATATATGAGTACAGAGGTATAGTAAGCTTGATACGGACGACACAATATCGACATCAAGACAATTATACAGAGTGTCTCAAAATACGATAACAGGTCAATAAGAACTGTTTTTCCTTCGTTTTTTTTATTTTATATCAAAAGAGAATATAATATGATTCAGAAGTGTGTTTTTGAGACACTCCATGTAGGATAGTATTTGATAGTATTCAGAAACACTGAAATTTATCAAGGAACACAATATTGTCATACAATACTATTATCAATGGTACACGCTTTACACACATTTTGGTGAGCTTTTCATAAAATGATTTCTTTGAGAGTGCGAGAGTTTTCAAACACACCGAGATAAGAGGGTCTGCCAAAGTCTGATACGAAGGTACAGTGGAGCGCACGGTGCAACGGAGCGCGTTAATAATTCGTACTGTCCTCCCTTCGTGTATCTCGGACCGGGCTCGTTATTGCTCGATCGTTATTTTAAAATACGCGAGAGCTGGCACGCGGCACGGGAACATGAAAGGAACGCGAGTAACAAGTCTCTTCTGTGTAGAGACCCTCTAATAAGAGTCTGGACATGAGAAAGCCACTTTTGATTGATCCACCATACTTTAATAATTCCTGAGAGAGAGAGATAAAGAGAGAGAGAAGGGGAGGGGAGAAAGGGGGGAAGGGAGAAATACATAAGAAAAAGATAAAACAGAATGAGAAAGAGAAAGAAATAGTAAATGTAGGTCTCTCTCTCATTTTAAAATTACTATTTTACATATAAAACTACGGCTCGTATCCAGACTGTTATTAGATAGAGGGTCTCTTATAGTTCTGTGCGTTCCGCGCGCGCCGTCCGCTCCTACACTTAATTGAGAAAACCGTGGTATGTATCGGGGGTGACTTACTGAATACTACGTGGACTAGGCCTCGAAGGTATCTTTACGAGTCGTGGTAGATCTCCCCTGAAAATACGACGCGCACGAATAAGCCTATCATTGGCCACGTCCACCCGATATCGCGCGTATGGATAACATGCTAAAAGCGCAAGAATAGCCGTATCTCGCCGGACAACATAGGACAGATATATGGTACTCTCTCGGGAACCACTCTCTGGACCCCCCAACCCCCGCATACCTGTATGGGATATCGGTGAGATTCGATTGGCTGTGGGAGTGCGGAACACGCGGCGCGGAACTGACGTCACGGACGCCGCACACCGCGAGCTCGTGGGCGCTTCCAGACAGACTCCGGTCGCTTCCTCTTCGTCTGCCGCCACTACCTATGTTAGCGTGCTGCAAAGTGCTAGACGTTGGTGTCGAAGTGGAGGAGACTTTCTTCTTTGCTTGGCCGCCGAAGCCGAAAAATCTGGAAAAACAAACAAGGCGCTTCGATGCGTGCATCTTGCGACTAAGGCCCACGACTACAATTATTTACAACTACGCTTACGCAATTGTAGACTGGATTTAATACGACACGTACACGGAAAGATTTTGCTGAATAATCTAAAAGTTTAGCTGGATCTGAAAATAATTACGTAGGAACAAGCATGATGAGCAATGCTGTAAAAACATTTTGACGTTCCAGCGACCAATTTGAGGATCCTACAAAATTATTTTGATGGCCCGACTTTTAAATTTACTTTTAGATTTGTATTCAGCTAAATTCTTAGACATTTCAGCAAGACCATCTTTTCGTATAATTCGATGATAGGCTCACCTCTTCTTCTGCAGAGGTTGCACGCCGGCAGCTAAGAGATTACGATATTGATCGGAACGAATAAATCTAGGGTAGCAGTCCTTCTTTAGCAGTAGCGTATATACATGCTCCGCGGCGGAATCAAACGTAAATCTGCTCGGATTTTTCATTTCCTGATGAATCCTCTCCATCGTTTTCCCGTCTATATTGATTTCGCACGGAGCTCCAGGTGCCAGGAATTCTCTGCGTGAATTTCCGAAACGTTACGAATAGATTATATCTTTACAAATCGAAATAGCGTAACACACGCGTACCTAAAAATTTCGTTGACTTTGTCAGGTATTTGTGCTTGAAAACTATGCCTGAGATCTTTGACCGCCAGCCAAAATCTTATATTCTCGTGGCTGTACTCCTTTCTTAAATAATTCGTGAATTCTTGTAAACCTGTTGCGGTAGAATAGTGCTTGTGAGTTTGCTAGCGGAATGAACTATGTTCTATTAATGCGATCGAAAAGTTTACCTGTAGGATCAGACATAAGTTCTTCCATCGACAGCCCCCATCGTTTAACGCGTTTTTCTGTAGGAACGTCCACTCTAGACATATAAAGTATATTATCGAATTTGTCGCGTTCCATAGATGAAGGTATCCGATTTTCATTACTTACAAGCTATTATTCAATTGCCAAAACGTATGATCGTCGGTGACCCATGGATTGGAAGGATGCGGTTGTACGAACATTGGATCGTATTCCACGTACGTTTCGAAGTATGATTTCAAATTTTCGATCGCAGTCGAAACTTTTATCCTCGTGCGTATCAAACTGTTCCGTAGAAGGGCCACCTATTAAAATTATATACGGGTATATAAATCGGAGATTTGAAAGAGCGGGAATGCCAATCCCGATGATAGATTGGCACTCACCTCACGTTGCAGATCGGTGAGAGTGCGTTTACGTGACGGAGGTCGTGGAAGTCCAGGACGAAAACGAGTGGATACGGGCACGACTTCCAGGCTACTGAGACAACCAGGTGGTGGCCGATATACTCTCCAAAATGCTCGTTCCTGTGAATCGCTCACTATCTTGTCACCTTTCTTGCGCTCCTTAGATAAGCGTACCTGAGCCCACACAATCAGCAGCATTTCAAGGAGTCACGTGCTCAAATATGCGGAATTGATATTTACATGGGACAATACTTGCGGTATACTATTGAAAATTAAATGCGATAATGTATGCGGATAGTTATTCACCTGTTCTTCCGCTTGTAGTTGTATTATGTCCCACTTATTCTGCAAGTTCTTACGCAGGCTGTTCAAAGCTTCCTAAAGAGATAGTACGGTTTTCTTTTACGAAAGAAAGTCTTTAAATAAATTTTTACGACGCGTTATCGCGTTAACGACGTGATTTTACATACGATCTCATAATCCTCAAGAGCGTGACGTTGTTTGTTCCTCAGAGTTCGTTTAGCCAGATAGATCGCGTACTCCACGTTGTCGGGGGTTCTATGTTGCCACGGCCAATAATAGGGTGTCTACGCGTATCAATTTTTCGTATGAGAAATGATTGAAAAGATTTTGGAGAAATTGGAAATTTTACTCTTTCAATTACTTTCGAATATACGACTCACCTGAAACCTATACAGAGAGCTATCGTCCTTAACAGTAAGTGTCTTGGAGTCATTCACCGGGAAGAAGTAGCCATACTGGCATAGTTGATTAGCAATATGGACCGCCTCTACTGTCAAACACAATAATGCATCTTGATATCTGAAGAAACGTTTATATCGACAGAAGTGTCTCTAAGGATCGCTTAGTGTTGCTTAGGGTCGTGCAGATCACTCAAACGATGCCACATTGCTCTGTGTCGTATTTTGGTTGTCTGTTCTTACAGTTTTTCTAGCGGACGTATACGTCGAGAAATGCCCACAATAAATTTTAGTTTTTGTTATTTTTAGGAAATTGATTGTGTGTTGCTTTTGATGACCTTTCTTCGAAGAGGACACCAGCTCGCTCTCCTTTTCTTTTTTCCTTTCTCCCTCTTCCCCTCTCTCTCTCTCTCTCTCTCTTTTTCTCGCCAAGATGATTAATAACGAATGATTAATTCGATTTTTTAGTTAATAAAATACTATAATGTATAAATATCGATCCATCGTATTTTCATAAATACTATCCGCGAACTTCTCAGAGTTACGAAAACATTTATTCTCTAAATGCATTTGACACGAATTACGCTCGCTTCGCGACGGAACGGGAGTGTAATTTACGGTCTTCATTTGCACGAGGCGAGGAAAAAAAACTGAACGAAATCCAGAAAATCCGCGAGAATATTTACCGTTGCTCAGCTGCAAATTCGCGAGTTCTCCTCGTCATTAATCTCTCATCTTTTCAATAATCAGGAGCGTACATAATTCATATTCGACTTGAACGAAAAAGGATATTCTGTGTAGTGTGACGTGTTAGTATGTAATCGATATATGCCTCTTTAAAGGCACCAAAGCGAAAAGTATATCGATGCAAATGGATACTGCGAAGCAAAACTATATCGATAGTGTCGTTAGCATCCTCAGGCAGAGCGTTGTGGTTGCGCGTGTTGGGAGGAGGACACCGAGCCGAGCCGAGCCGAGCCGAGCGAGTGAGCGAGTGAGCGAGCGAGCGAGCGAGGGACAGAATGGCAGAATGGCACAGCAGCGGAGAGCAGCCGGCAACGATCAGTAGTAGACATACGAGCCCGTACCTGATTCTTCGATGGCAAGCCGCTCCATCAGCCACTCGATGAGGTCGTAACCTGCAACACGCAGGCAGCCTACTGTAGTGTCCTGGCCGTGATGGCCGCTTACGCTTACTCCACAACGCAGGTACCGATGGCACTCACCCATGAACGCTGAAGGGATCGAGGTGAGAAATTGTTTTTGGCTGCGCACGGGTACCCCGCTCTCAGGGTCTTGCATCTCCCGCACCAGCCCCTCCATCTGCGCCAGAGATGAAACGCGCGACGAACGATTATTATTACAGTTCATTAGCGACGTTTATTAGTCATTGGACTCGTTTAGTCAGCAATACTCAGCATACTCAGCAAAAAGAAAAGCAGCTTTGCTACTGTTGTTGTAAAATTCTTTAATGCGATTGAATTTAATTTACCCTTAGTTCTTCACTGGAGCTAAATGTACAAATCAATCATTAAAGAATTATGATTAACAACAGTTGCAAAGCTGCTTCTTCTGTTGAATACGTTTGTTATTACGTTTGCAACGCAGCTATTGGGAAATGATTTATTCGCGCGCGGGAAAAGAATGTACCTTGTCGAAGGCGTAAGGCCTGTGAACGCGTGGCTCCTTCTCTTTTTGTTGTTGATTGCTAGAGGCCTCCATCGCGATCGAGGCGGCCCTCTGCGTCGCTGGCAGGAGCGGTGTCGATATCGATGGCGGAGGGGGCTGGGGAGCTGGGCCGGAGACGGGTCTACCCGAACTCCATGGGGCTCTGGCCCCATCCCATCACTCCAGTCACCCCCGCACGCCCACTGAAACATTCCGTAAGTTGTCCTTTTTACCTTCTTCATCATCTCGTTTCAAATACAGACGTAACAGAGTATATAGACGCACAAGTGAATTACAAACTAAATTGATAAAAAAACATTTTTATTCCAATAGCGCGTACAAAGATATAACGACGTTAAAGTGAGAAATTCTGCTTTAAAAGTCTTGATTTTTAAGCGAAATTTCCACGCTCTCTACTTTGCTCTTTGAAGAAAAGCTGTACATAATTTAAAACGCTTATGTCTCTATCTTTCCATTTAATTATTCATGCTTGTCGTTTACGCGTACACAATTAAACTGCAAAAAATTCTACAAATAAAATCGTATATATATTCCAATTAAATAACAGTTTTCTCACTGCAAATTATTGAGAAATAAGATTCTGCGCGACAGTGTAACGTATTATCATCAAATTTGTTTATATTATTCGAATTTCAATTTCTTTGGTACTTGTACCTATGAATTTGAACCTCTAAATTTTAAGAATATCTATTCGATATTCTAAAATAGCTACTTTTTTCGTACATCTCTATGGTTCGTTCAATTTTTAATGCTTTGTCTTTTGATACACTTCCTCTGACGTGCCGCTCTCATTATTTATCAAAGCACATCGGATTAAGAAAAGTGGACAGAAATATCAGGCATTTAACTCGTAGAAACAGAAACATTTGTATATTAAGGGACATTTACGTAAGCTATTTTTATAATTGCTATTGATGACTATATATTTGCCGAATGTCGTTGGCATTAATTGATCCAACATCTCCATCTACAATTGACTTTCTAACATTTGTGGGAAAGTGAACGACTTAGAATTATACTAATATAAAGTTATTTATAAAGTTTGAATTAACAATAAGAGAGGAGATAAAAAATTTTGAAATCATTATAAATAAAAATCTATTTTTAAAGAGAAAATATTCAATTCTGCAATTCGAAATGTTTACCCTTCATCGGCAATATTGGATTTCAAAGCACAATTGATTTTTTTTAAATTCTGGTAGATAAATTTAAATCTGTAAAAAACGTAAAATCCAACTTCTATGATAATAAAATTTGTGATAGTAAAACTTCATTTTTGATGCTTTCACGAATATATAAGATTTTTTTCAGATTTTTATATAGTCCGAAAAAATAGATAAAAATCTGTACTGAAATTTAAAGACTCAGGTTGCAGAAAGAGGATGAAAATTTCAGAGAATGAAAACATTGCCAATGAAAGATCAATTAGATTCGAAAGCTCATAAATCATAATTTCGAATTTTTATTTTTTTATCCTTATGTCGGGAAAACCAGCAGAAATTTAAACGACAGGCCAATTATTGATATAATAATAAATAATAAAGCTTTTGTCGAATATTACGTTTTAATTTCGCGAGCATCGATTTTATTTCTCACGTCTGCGGCAATCAACATGAGATACACAATCTATCTGAGATACGTAAGTAGCACATATATAAAGTCGTTGAATAGATAAAAGCATCTTCGGACAGATCATTTAGCTCGAATAAAAGAAAACCGGGCATTTTACCGGGATTCGTTCTACTTCCGCCTTTCAGCTTCCGCGGTTTCGCATCGTGCAACAAACTGCGACAATAATAAACGGCAAACGGCAAAATGCGCCGGTTCGACGCTATAAACGCTTCCCTTCTGTGTGCGTTGTTTCAGGTTGCGGATGAAGATTTACTTTATTATATCCGCCGTTTTCTCATAGTTTCGAATAAAAATCTCTCCGCAGTGTTTCTCGTAAATCCGGAAAACGTTTCCCGACTCGAGACCATCGGGAAATTCATAAGACAAGATATAATCTAGGCTTTATGCGGTCGACTTTTTTTCAACAGGAACGGAATTTCCAGTCGGGAGATTTGCGCGTCAAGATAAGAAAAAGAAGGTCTTCCAACGAAAACTAGTAAGAGAAAAAAGGGTCAGGCTATCACGTTCAGCGCTAAAAGTACAATACAGGTCGCCCGAAAGTTTTCATGAAGCTTGCGGCAAAACGCGAATGACTCGCGGAAATTCAAAGTTTCACTGTTAAAAATGACGCTATGACGCTATATCGCGTTACTGGTATCGTGTTACTTATGATATCACGTTACCATCCGACTGATCTCCCGAACAAAATGCAAGGTCAACGCAAATCGCCATCAAGGCTGTGACGCGATGAAAAAAGCGAGTACCATCCTGAAAATGGAGATGGCTTTGTGCATGTGTGATCAGGTGTAGTCGGGCAGTTAGATAAAGCCGCCGTCGATATATCGATGTATCTCGGGTTGATGAACCCAAACCTATTCGACTGGCGATAATGGGGGTAGTGTTCTCGTCTAGCTAAAGAGAAAGCATGTAGGAGAAATATAGGGGGAGGAAAGGAAATAGGATACACTCAAGTCATTGAGTCATGCAACACCATACTGATATTTCAATTGTTGAAATAATTTTAAACTCGCGTTTTAACTCCGAGTTTCCATTGTACTTCTTCTTTCAATACGCTGACTGTCGAATTTTTCCGTTTTCGACGAAACAAGTTGTTAAGTTGGTCATTTTACGGCATCTGTTACAAAACTTTCGCCTCGTCTTACTTCCGAGCTTAAAATTGGATTCGTTCTTAAAGTTAGTATCGACAATACTCGAGAGAAAGTCGCGAGCGAGAAATTTGAAAACGCTTTTAGAAAAGTATAATTCGAGATAGAGTAAGGGATAGAAGAATGGAATAAAACGAGAAGACAGAATTCCGATTGGAGTAAGCGCTCGATATAGAAAAGAGGGGAATAGCCAGAATATCAAAATGAATCCCCAAATGACCTGAGGGCAAGCAGATACGTGGGCGAAAGCACATTCCTCCCCTGCACAATCCTCGCCGAGCTTGCACCCTCTCTTCGCCTGCCAATTTACGTGCTAATCTGAAATCGATAAGTCCTCCGGCATGTCCTGAGACTTTGGGAATGTACGCTTCTACGAATTATTCAGTGCGCAGAGTTATTAATGTCTTGCTCAATTACAGGCGAGTTTTCACTCACTACAGGAAATCAATTAAGCACGCGTGGGGAGGTGACAGTGTCCCTCGTCGCGTAATCGTTAACTCTCGGCTACCGGCTGGGATTACAGTACTCCCATTTTCTCATTTTGTCCGTAATTAATCCGTGTAACGCGTCATTAAGATATAAGCGGCTGCTCGTGTCCGAATCTGAAATTTTATCCCGTCGTTACTTTGATTCGGGGTTTATTTTATCTGCATTTATATTAATTTTTGCGTTGCGCTTCCCTTCAAATTCATGGCGTAACTTCGTTATTGAGTCACTGATAACTGATACCAAAATATGAAATCCAATAAGTTTATTAGTTGCTCTATCAGAAAAATAACTCTACCGGACAACGCATGTAAGGGAGTGAGTATCTCATGAAATTGTTTTGATATCAATAGTTTATAAATTAATTGTTTTATTCCACAAAAAACATAATTTTGCAAAATGAGAGTTTTAATGTCAGAATGTGTAAGTATATGGGTGCGTGCGTGTTTTTTTTTTTCAAAGACGTATTTAACGTGTAAGAAGTGTAAAGGCTCGAGTGATGTACAATCAAATGTATAAAAAGAAAAGCCTATAAGAGCCGACACAGGTTTCTATGTGTGTAAAAAATATAATGTTTATTAGTAAACACATTTAACATTTGCTACATACTTTTGGAAATACAATATATTATCGAATGTCGATGTTTCTTGGCAAAATCACTTTAAATAATTAAATAGCGCTCTATGTAGCGCCAATTTGCTTTGCCAAATGTATCCAATTACTTAAATCGAGCTAACGTACATCGAGCATTTTTTAAAATATTTTTTTCACAAACATCACCATCATAAATGTTGGCGAATACCAATGCTGGCAATGTACGATGTAAATTGACCATATAACGTCCATATACGATATCACATTGGCCAATGTTGTCATACGTATATCATGCGTAGAGTTGGCTTTAAATAAACAAGAGAACAATGTGTGACAGATTCTGGTAGTAAATGAAAAGGGGGAATATCCACTTCCATTCTATATTTTTAATCGTGATATATATCCGTTGCATATCCATTGTTCCGTATTTCCACAATCGCCACATCTGCGAGATGATAAATATAATAATGTCGCTCTCAGGTTTTATACGGATTATCGTACCCTTCGCGACACGTCGTGGAAAGTGTGTGAGGGAAAATCAGGAAACATAGCGCTTCGGATCAATTCTAAGAAAAGCTCGAATAAGTAATATCAGTAAGAGAAGGCACCGTCTTGGAAGAAGGCCGTCATAAAATTCCGAGGGAAGCGACACTAAGCTCGCCTTTCTATGGGATTAACTCTCGCGAAATTCTCTCTCGACGGGACTCATTTCCCCGAGAAGCTTTGTGCGGCCGATAACGAATTTCCTTGTTTCCTATTCAGACGCGGGACATTCAGAAAACACGAAGAAAGCGTGCGCGGCATTAACCCTTTTCAATTGTGAGAAAAGGAATAAAATTGTCGGCTCTTCCGGATTTCTCGAATTCTGGACTACTTAAATTTTCCTTGAATTCTTAGATGCTTCGATTGCTATTTCATAGTTTAGTATAGTACAACTTCGAGAGAAGTCGCGTTGGCGAATTGTCGAATTGTTTTTTTCAAAACCATTTAGTTTATTGTGTATATATAATTCTGAAGCACGCATTGTATGTTGCAAGCGACAGAGCGGCATGACGAACAAAACGAATAAAAAAATACAGTTTGTGTCCTTTGTTTCCTGCAGACGCGATATAATCGGTCACTTTTCCCAAGTAACGAACCTGGGGGTGAGTGTTACTCTCCTGAAATAACCCCTAAATTGATTGAACGAACGGTTCCGTGGAGACGACGCAATTTTAGTCCACGTCTCCTGGGTCGCCATGCGATGCCATGTCGGTAAATAAAATGGCAAAATCAGGACTTACAATCAGTCAAAAGCGTCCAATCTCGCGCCTTGCGGAACAATGGATGCGATAGATGGAAATTTTAATTGAATTTTCATACCGCGCAACTCTATGCCGGTAAAAGCAGCAATCGAGTTGCTTGAGTCGATCATAGAATTGTGAAACTGCAGTTTCACGATCGCGCAATATGTATTTTAAATCGTATCGTCGTATTCTGTTTCGGTTACACGTGACTTTTCAAGAACTGATTAAGTGGGCGGTCCGTTATTAAGGGCTGTCAACTTTGTTTCTAATTGCGTTTCTAATTTCGATGTTTAAAGATACTTAGGTTTATCTAGTTAATTTGTGGTTATATAAATTTAACCTGATGTTTTACTCAATGGACTTCATTCATGACATCGTCATACCTCATTGAATAAAATATCAGATTAAGACTGACTACAAGTTAATCAACTTATGAAAAATCATCTTGTAATTGATCTTACAATTAAATTTGCAACAGAATTATACATTTTCAAATGAGTAAAGAAAGGTCCAATACGATCGAGGCTAAATTAGTGCTTAATAATATTAATCGTTGAGAGATTTGTTAATAATATATAATAATAATAATAATAAATATTACTACATGCTTCAATGATTGAATAATAATAATAAATATTACTACATGCTTCAGTGGTTGAATAATAATAGTAAATATCACTACATGCTTCATTGATTAAATGGGAAAAGACACTTCTTCCGGATAGTCGAGAGATTCTAATCCTAGTTGAGGTAATATTTCTCGCAATAAGTTCTTTACAAGTTTTTAAGACGTTAGTAGCATTATTATCAAATCGATGTTGAATTTAATTGTGATATTATTTAGCTTCAGTTTATGATTGCGTTTTAAATCTGACAGTAAGCAGCGCGTAGTTTATAACTGAAAGATAAAATTTACATTTAAAAATATTATCTTTAATCTATTAGCGTCCTTTCTTTACTTATACTGTTAAATCTATAGTATCAAATTTAACTTAAGGTGAGTCGTCACTGCTCCTATTTTCAATTATATTACGTTATTTTATACTAAAACGATAATTAAATTTGACACTATACAGTGTCACTATATAGTGTCAAATTTAATTATCGTTTTAGTATAAAATATCGATATATTTAGTAAGAGCAGTGGTGATTCAACATTAGGTTAAATTTGACACTATAAATTTAAGTATTCGATTTATTCATATAACGCGGTCTGAAATATCTTATTATTGTACATTTTCATTCTTAATCCTCCGGAGCTGATGTCAAAATCTGTAACATAGTTACTGACTTTATATCTGTAAGATGTAACTTGTGTTAAAAAGCACCCTAATCACTTTCAAGAAACCAAAACGACATAATTATATAAGAAAGAATAGACGATTGTAAATATATTTTTATAAGAATAATCCAAATTTGCAGATGTAACATAAAGAAAATTTAATTGTTTGACACTTTTGATAAAGAGACTTATAAGTGAGTGGGTCCAATAACCATTAATTCCAAATTAATAGAGAATAGAGAATGTCATTTTTTCGATTCTGCGAATAAAGTCATGATACAGCAGATCTGTGGATCTTTGCGTGAAATACCCTTGGGAGTTGCTCGTGATATCCAGTAAGCAAGGAGATACAACCTTGACTAACCGTGAAGACCTAATCATTTTAATCCTCTGTGTTACAGCTTTCTCGTCTAATTCTCATTTCACAGAAATGCATAAAAATTATTCACACCGCATATATGAGTTCAAATTGTAAACAGTCGTGACGTTACATTTACAACTCCTGAGTTATAACTTCTCTTCAATTATTTCGAATTTAATTCTGAGATAAATTACGAGATGAATAAGTCTTTAAGCTCATGGCATACATAAAGCAGTAAAACATAAACAGTAGCGAATTAGTCAATCACAGTAGAGAACCTAAGACAATGACGTAAACAGTATACGAAAAAAAAAAAGTTTGTTAGAATATTTGGAAAATTTAGCTACATACGGATCTAAAAATAATTTTGTCGGATCAAAATAACAAGCATGATGAACAATGTTGAAAAATTTTGACAGTCTAGCAACTTCAGTTTGGACATCACACATATGTATGTATTTTGATGATTCAACAAAATTATTTTCAGATCCATATTTAGCTAAATTTTTAGATGCTTCACGAAAATTGTTCTTTTCGTGCAAAATCCAAAGCGTTGATTTACTTACTGCTTACGTCTTAGTTATTTTGTGTGTTATAACCTTTAAACGCAGAAACACAAGCAAAAATGAGATTCGATTAGTAGTCCCTTAATAACGAATTGTGTGCTTAATCAAATATGAATCATCAGCTCTTGAAAAGTCACGCAGCAAACAGGTGAATTCCCAAAACAGACTCATCGATATTATATGATAACGTAAATCCGAATTATCATCGCTCCATCCATGTTATCGTGTCGATACTAACAAGTTAAGGCGTGCTTGCACAGTGAAAAAAAAATTGATCAACATTTTCGGGATATTTACTGGTTTAATTGTCATTTATTACATTACGATGTCAATCGGCCAAATTTGCCTTGACACAGTCTGTCAGATTATTAGATTTCTAGAAATACGAAACGATACGAACGAGCTATATATTCAGCATGCAAATAAGGCATAATGGACAATGAAAAGCTGATGAAACGTGATAAATCGCTCACACACAATTTCCATATTGTCGAAATTTTCCACGTACTTGGGAACATTTTAACGTGTCTCTAAAAAAAAGTTGGAATGTTTACGATTTGCTAATTGTAGTAGATAATTATCGTTGATATTTTTTGAGATAGATACATGTATATTTTTAGCTAGAAATAATTATGGTGAAAGGTTACTGATGTAGACACGTACCTTAATATATTAATACTGCGTTAACAGTGCGGTAGGACATCCGAAAAGTGCAATGCGTCGCATGAGCACTATCACCTTACACTATCACTGCGTTGGCACTGCCATAAATGCATCATCGTACTACCATGTATCAGCAATTCCGAAACGTTCATCAATATGCATATGTGAGATCGAAATGTGAGATCCACGTTACTACTGATACTTCTAGCACTACTATAGATAAACCGTACCGTTGGTCATAGTTCAATATGACAGGAACTATAGAGAATTGATATTATACATTTCCCCTATATATACCGACATTTCGAAATGCTATATTTTGTAGCGTTGCCGCTGCTATAGTCGCACCCTTATACCAACGTTTCTTCAATCCCCGCCCCAGCATTTTTTCGACGTGATTCCGAGAACCGACGTCAGCCTCATCGCACCAATTTAACGTTCTGTCTAAATCACGAAGAACCTACTACGAGAGATGGTCTGGGCGCAAACCTGACCCCCGGGGGGTTTCGCGCGCTGATAATTGGAAGCGCACGAATCATCCCCCCGGGAACGTGCACATGTCACGATCGTAATGCATCTCGCGCCTTTTCGACGACGATGCCGGGTGCTAGGAGATATGACGTGGCCCGATCGAATGGTCCACTTTTCGCATCGCTAAGCCTCCACTCCCGTGGTCGATATTTATTGCGCCTCGGCCGAGGCCGAGGCTCGCAACTGCACCGAAGAAACCGACTCGATCGTTTCGCGTCCCTCGGGCCAACTGTTAATCGGCCCGTTTCCTCGAGGAGGAAACGCGCGTTCTCTCTCTCTCTCTCTCTCTCTCTCTCTCTCTCTCCGTTCCCTCCGCCGGCTAAAAATCGCCTCCTCCTCTCCCTACTCTCCCCGGCTCTCGATCGACCCACGCCGATTTAACGGCCGCCACGAAGGAGAGACGATCGCAGCACGACGTTCCTGGTGGTATCGCGCCACTGACGGTCGTCCGTTTTCGAGGACGTAGACTCGCTTGCCATTGCCATTGTTATCGTCCTCGTCCTCGTCTTCGTCTTGGTTGTCGTCGTCGTCATCGTGCGGTCACCGTCGTCGTCGAGCAGACAATTCACTACGGCGTTTCCGCGAAGAGGCCACTCTCGCGGATGATCGCATTACGAGAGGAAGGGAGAGCGACTGCCAGGGAGAAAAGAGAGTGCACGACGGGGTACGACACGGCGAGTATTTCCCTCCCCTATCCTACCGTCGCGTCATCCCGCTGGTTCGACGCTGCCTTCGAACCATCACCTCGAACCAGCACCGAGCAATGAAATGTCACAAACTCTACTACTCACTCGACGAGTCAGGGCAGTGGAGCTTCATGAATGCGTCTCGCAGTACGTATCAGGCCATCGGAGCACGGCCGAACTCGCGGCCCTTCTTCCGCAGCTTCGAGTCTAAAGCCACCGTCCGCACCGATA